AACAACACAAAGTACTTATTCCCTCCAATTGATGCTACTGGAAATGGACCACACACATCAGAATGTACAACTCCCAAGGCATGTTTTGCTCTTGGAGCAACTTCTGACGCAAATGGAAAATGTGATTGTTTTCCTTCCATGCAAACTTTGCATGACTTTTCAGGCTTCTTAATTGCAGGAATTCCATGTACCAGCTTCTTTGAATTCAGATGTTTTAGGCTTCTGAAATTCAAATGACCAAATCTTCTGTGCCACAGCTCACTCTCTTTCTCAGCACATGTTGCACTAAGACATTCTGAGTCTGCAGTTCTGACATTCACCTTGAATGTTCTATTCCTTCCCTGTTCTGACTCCATAATCAACTTCTGATTGCAGTCATACAGCTTCAGAAGATTATCCTTCATGGTAACTGAAAAACCTTTCTCAATTAATTGTCCCACACTCATCAGATTGCTTCTGATGCCAGGTACATACCACACGTTCTGAATCAATGCTGTTTTCCCATTGTTCAGAATCACTCTGACATTTCCCATACCTTGTGCATTAAGATATTTGTCATCAGCACATCTGATCTTTGTTCTCTTTTCAGAGTCAAAGTCAACCAGCCATTTCTTGTTTCCAGTAAGATGATTTGAACAGCCAGTGTCCATATACCACCAGTCTATCAGATCCATATTATCAGATTTAGAAGCCATCAATAGCACAGATTCGTCATCAGAACTTCTGGCTATATTTACTTCTTCTGATCTCTTCTCCTTGTTTGACCAACAATCTCTAGCAAAGTGACCAAACTTCTTACAACAATAACATTGGATCTTCTTCTTGTCATACTTCTTTTTTCCCTTCTGAGCATTCTTTTGTCTATCAGAGGTTGAGCTTTTTGACTTCTGACCACCATCAGATCTTCTCCTGGCTTCTGACTACTTCTGATACCTCCTATCAGAAGTTGCTTTCAGAGCCTGCTGCTCTACTTCCTTTTCAGAAGTTCTCTCAGTCAAACGCAACTCTTGCGCTTCTAGACTGCTCTGCAACTCTTCAATTCTCATGGTGCTCAGATCTTTGGAATGTTCTATTGCTACCAATGTAATCAAATTGAGGGGTAAGGGATCTCAATACCTTCTCCATGATTGTTTCTTCAGAAAGAGTTTCTCCACACGCCTTCATCTCATTAGTGATCAGAATCATTCTGGAGATGTATTCAGAGACTTTCTCATTATTCTTCATGTTGAGATTCTCATATTGCTTTCTCAAGGACTGAAGCTTCACCTTCTTCACTGATGCGTCACCACCATAACATCTCACCAGTGTGTCCCACGCAGCCTTTGCTGTTGTTGAATCTGCAATCTTCTCAAACACATTTACATCATTGATGAATAAAGAATAATGCTTTCTGATCCTTCTTCCTTACTTCCTTCTGCGCGTTTTTCTGTTCATCCGTTGCATCTGCTGCTACCGGAATATAACCATCAGTGACAAGATCTAAAACATCTTGAGCACCAAACAGTACACGCATTTGGATCATCCAACGATTCCAGTTTTTACCATCAAATACTGGAAGTTTGGTGTTCATGTTGCCGTTTCCGTTCATCTTCTACCTTGCACAATACACTCAGATTTCTCACACAGTGTTTCCCAACCCACAGAATTAAAATTCTGATCAGATTTTGTTCAAGATTAAACACGAATCTAAGAATCAAAATCAAACACACAAGACCTCACGTTCACTCGTGTTTCCCGTGTTTCCCAATGAATCTGAACCGGAGCTCTAGATACCAATTGTTGGTGCAAAGATGAATAAATGATGAACAGAGGAAATATTCTATTAAGAATGACGGCTACAAAAACATGATTAAGTTATAATGATTGTCACCCTATTTATAAGCTAAAACTAGGGTTACTAGAATAAGATAAAATACTAAAATACCCTCTAACAAACTTAGGGGCTAAGAAAATAGTACAACTAAATAAATATGAATTACTATTAATATTCTAATATATGTAACATAGAGAAAAATTATGATCTTGCCAATCTCTTAAAGGTAACAAAACTAATAATATGGGATGAGGCACCAATGGCAAATAAATATTGTTTTGAAGCTCTTGATAAGTCATTGAAGGATATTATGAGTGATGACGATGTTGAGTGTCAGCAGATTTTTGGAGAAAAAGTTGTAATTTTTGGTGGAGATTTTAGACAAATTCTACCAGTTGTTCCAAGAGGTACTAGATCAGATATAGTACATGCAACAATAAATACCTCTTACATTTGGGATCATTGTAAAGTAATGAATATAAGCAAAAATATGTGTTTGCAAAGTGGTTCTAATTTAGGCAATTCAGAAGAAATTAGACTCTTCTCAGATTGAATTTTACAAATTGGTAATGGAAAGGTCTCAGAACCCAATGATGGATATGCTGAAATTGATATTCCTGAAGAGTTACTTATAAGAGATTTTGTGGACCCAATTGAAGCAATTGTTTCAAGTACCTATCCAAATCTGCTTCAAAATTACACGGATCTAAATTTTCTTCGGTGTAGAGCTATTCTAGCATCAACTATTGAAATAATTGATGACATAAATAACTTCATAACTAATCTTCTTCCAGGTATACTTCATTTTCTATTATAACTATATTTTCTGATTATTTCATACAATGTGTCTTTGGATGTACATATGTATATATTATTTTGATATGTACATACTACTATATTATTTTTTCATACTATTTTTTATACATACCTGTTATTCTATTATATATATATATATATATATATATATATATATATATATATATATATATATATATATATATATATATATATATATATATATTTCATGTAGGTGAATCTAAAGAATATTTGAGTTGTGATTCCATTGATAGATCAGAAGCTAATGAGAATTATGCTTTCGAGCATTTGACACCGAAATTTTTGAGTTGCCTAAAAACGTCTGGTTTGTCTAACCACTCATTGAAATTGAAGGCTGGTACAATCATCATGTTGATAAGAAATTTGGATCAATCTGAAGGCCGTTGTAATGGTACAAGGTTAACAGTTACAAAGTTAGGCAATCATGTAATTGAAGCAAAGATCATTTCAAGTATAAATATTGAAAACATTATTTATATCCCGAGAATGTCTTTGTCTCCTTCCCAATCTCCATGGCCATTTAAACTTATCAGAAGACAATTCCCAATTATAGTGTCATTTGTTATGACAATCAACAAATCTCAAAGACAATCGTTGGACTATGTTGGATTATATTTGCCAAAGAATGTTTTCAGTCATGGACAACTTTATATTGCCATTTCAAGCGTTAAGAGCAAAGCTTACACAACAAAGACAACAACTACTTAACTCAAACAACAAACGTGGTCTTCAAAAAAGTTTTCCATAATGTCATATAGGTACATATTTAGTTTTTGAATAAGATTATTTTTTCTTACTATCAATACTAAAATCCTCATCTCTATATTTAGCTTCAAGTAAAATAATTTGATACTCAAATTTATATTTCACTTCATACTTATATAATTCATTCTTTCAACATCTCATATTTTTTTAGATAGTTCTAATATTTCATTAATTATTGATTTTATTTTATATTTGTAGGTTTTGTAATCCCCAATCTTGCTTCATACAAGTCTTACTACATCATTTCAATCTACAATGTTATTTGCACTTTGTTACTAAATTTCTTTTGTTGGACATACTATGTTTCAGATATTAAAAGTTATTATATTTTTATGACATTGAATATATCCACTATTATGAAGTTATTATGAAATTTAAGAATGAATTTATTATGCTTCCGCACGGGTCTCCTACTAGTTTTAAAGAGAGAAGTAAAAGAGTAGAAAAAGATTTTGTGATAAGAAATCAGAAAAGATTGATTGAACTTTTAGTTGGTTTTTCAAAATGGAAAAGATAAACCAATTTACAACGTTTGGAGCAAATTGTGGTTTGTGAGAAAGAATAAAAAGTTAAATATCAACCAGTTTTTTTTTTTGAAAAGGCAAAATGCATTAATAAAAGAAAGGCATGAGACATGCCATTACAAAGTATAACAAAACAAGACAGCCTTGAAACAAAAAAGGCACTGCTGCTGCAAAACTCTCAATCACCTAAAACAGGAAGCAAAAGGCACTGAAAAAGTAAACCCTCCAGATACAACACCAAAACAGAAGGCTCTTATAAAAGATAAACTAAACATAGAGATATGCCCAATTCTAGCCAGACCCCACAAACTCAGCAGAAAACACACAGGCCAAGCTGCTCTAAAATATTTGGCCGGCTCCGACCGATCCAAGCAACTGAATTGCACTGGAAAAACCTCTACAGCACTGAAGAAGAGATAAGGCTACAAACCTACTGATATGACAGACCCGGAATCAACCAGAGTTAACATTGACATATAGTTGGAAAAAGTATTTTTTTCACCAAGAATACCTTAATTTTCGAACACAAGACAGATGATGGAGCAAAGGCTAAATGGAGAAATCCAGAACATATACTTTTTTTTATATATTATAGCTGAAGCTGGACATGGTCCCTATTTGACAAGTTTAGCTCTAATGTTGCAACAACGTAAAACGTGAACTATTTGATGATATGTTATTTTTAGAAAATTGTAACACGAGTTTGTGTGAAGCATGTTAGTTAAGCAAATCAAGAACTAAGTTAACAATCTTTTTTGTAAAGGATTTGAATCTTCGAAAAATGCATACTTGTCCTCAAAGTGACATTATGTATTGAGATTATTAAGGGATACAAACCACAAATTACAATACTAATGTACCTCCATCCAATTCAATACCATAATTATGTGTAAATATTCATGACATGCGAAAATCTATACCAGGTAGCATCTAAGTAATGTATAACTAAAAGAGTTTTAAAATATATTTTATACAAATAAAGGCCTTTTGAAACAACTGGTAAATACTCAGCTGAATGCAGACCTTTCTCCACAGGGGTGACAATTCTGTATCAGTCAGTATCATCTGAATGGGGAGTAAGGATTGATGCACATTACCTCTTCTTCCTTTATACAAACATTTGCTCTGTGAGACTTGAATAACTCTAATGCAAAAGGCGTCACGTGAACGCAACCATTCAAGTACAAAACCGAGAGACTTCTGCAACCGTCTCGTAATGCCTGCAAGCCATTATCATTGAGATTGCGGCATCGATTAACATGCAGTCTCTTCAAATTCTGGCAATATAACCCCACTGCTTGCCATCCGGATATCCTCACCTCATGACATAATGCTAAGTTCCACTCTTCAAGTAGTGTACATCCCATGGCTATTGCAACGATAGAAGTATCGGAAACAGATCTACACATTCGAAAGTTAAGGACTTTGAGGTTTGAGGAAAATCTTATTCCAAGCAAGGGATCTCCTAAAGGAGACCAACATAAACAAGAAACGTCTAGATACTCTATACCACCACCACTAATTATTCCCGTCACTCCTTCTGGGCTGAGCTTACAAGACCAAGCCTCTACATGTGCGAGAGATTTTGAACACCCTTTGAAGCCGACACCTCTTATACTCTCACAGTGTGATATGTTAACTGCCTGAAGCTGACGACACATCTGAGTAAGAGCTTTCAACCCTTTGTCGGATATTTGTGAGCAGTACGAGAGGTTTATGCATTTCAAAGATAAGCAAGCAGTGGCTAAAGTCACTAATCCGTCATCAGTAACGTTGAGACACCGATAGAGACTAATTGACGTCAATGAGGGACAACCAGAAGCAACCAGGGATAGGCCGTAGTCAGTAACTTTCAAACAACAATCTAGATTAAGTTTTCGTAAATTCGAACCATAGCTTAGCAAACGGGTTAATCCTGAATCATTGAGCTCCGTGCAACCACATAAGGATAAAGACTCTAACTGTTGAAAGCGCCTCAGTAGCCTATGGAGATGGACAGTGTGAACATCAAGCCCCTTTCTCGACAAAGAGGAGGGATTTAATATACTGAATGAACACTCAAATTGCAGTGACCGACGGTTGAAATTCTGAATATGGAGCCATCGTCGGCAAGTCAAGCCAAATGATTCACGATCAGTACGACAATCTAAAGCATGAAAAATAATAGTAAGGCAGTCATCTGGTAGATGAACGATGGAGGTAGCGCCAATTTTGGAAAGATCATCCATGTCAACCTTTTCAAGACTCTTCCAAAGAAGGCTGTAACGATCGAATCTTTACCGAGAATTTTGTCAAAGAGCTGGATGAAATGGAAGGCTCACATCCACAAAGTGCAGGTGAATGTCCACTATAACCATAACCAATATGAACTCCACACTTACGGCAAAGCAGTTTAGTCTTTGAAGGACACAACCATGAGACTGGAAGACAATTTATTTCATCAACCTGTGTAAAGCGGCTGAGATCAACTGATGAAAAGGAGATTGATCCTTTCTTAACAGACTTTTTGTATTCAGATGCAATGTTAGATGTGATTCGATTCGATGATGTCAAGTTCAGAGGGTATCCACATGAGCCACAGCTGCAGTGGATGCCAAAATCTCAAAACACAATTAATGAAAAAGATATAGAATAAAACATAAAAATATGCCATGGATTTTTCAAAAGTAAGATTGAAAGAGAAGAACAACATCCCATGTCATGTCAGAAAAATTCAGCATGCTGAGTAATGCTTTACGCAAAAAAGATTGACAACTGATTTTCTGTCGGATGCTCTACGCAAAAGAGTCTTTCATTAGATACTATAACTACTTTGAGTTGTGTCAGTTCTGAAGAAAATGAATGAATTGATTTCAACAGAAAAATTATCATCATTTACTAAAACGCCTTGAAAAAGTGAAAAGAGAAAATTTTTTATGAAAGAAAGAGGGAGTAATTTCTTCATGCATCCCCTTGTAAGTTATAACATCCATAAAAGAACTAGAGTCTCCATTTCTACAATTCTGACCATCCTTTCTTACCCTTCTTAAGTCAAAAATGTTAAACCACAAATCAACTCTTGAATTGAACCCATAAATTGCAAGATTTTGATTTCCAAATCTATGAAAAAGGACTAAAAAAGCCAAACACAAGGGTCAAAAACAAAACAAAAAAAAGTAAAAGATAACCAAATAATCTTCAACAAGAGTAAGTGTAATGTTTGGTTTAGCTTTTGGAAGAGTCAAATGCAATTCTAGTGGTTTAGAATTGATTTTGGAATGATTTTGATGTGTTTGGTTCTCCTAAAGTAGAATTGATTCTGCCTCCAAAACTGATTCTACTTGAAGCTATAATTTCTAGCTTTTAAACGTAATTTTTACTGAAATTTTCTATTCAACTCAATTTTGCATAAAATTATACAAACATAAATCATTTTATATTCAATTCACTTTTAACTTTTGCAAAATGAATTCACTAAAGAATATTTTTTTCACAGCAGAACCAAACATACCCTAGCAACCAACTAAAACTAACCATAGAAAACACAAGTCAATAGAATCTAACATTATAACTAAACTGATATCCACATGAAAATTTCTAAACTTTATTGTCACAACCTCAAAAGCATACAAAATCACATAATCATACAAGAATCAGCAACACCGATAAAAGAAAACCTAACAATCACTGAAACCACCGCACCGAAAGACGAAGAAAGGATTACCAGTAAGAAACGTCAGCTTGTGACATCCTCAGTTCGATGATGAGTAATTGAAATTGCAATCGCCATGTTCGTCCATAATCGATTATTACTCTGATTTTGATGAAGAGAATGAGATTGGGAAAATCGCTTTTCAATTCAATTTTGGTATCTCTTTGTCGATTGTTTCTTTTCTACTTTTCTAACTCTACCTAAATTCCATAAATGTGAATCGGTTTTAACATTACGAGACGCGTATGCAAAAATTAAAATATAATAAAATAACAGTTGGTGGTGTTTAGACGGTGTTGACTTTTCTTTTATGGAAATATAAAATTATTGAGGAGAATTGGGAAATTGAATTTCTTATAAAAGAATTTTAAAATATATTCTTGTATAAAACTCATGTATGATCATGGGAGCTAGAGATGTGAATTTTATCAAAGGTGCAAGTAGATAATGGAGAATGAATTGATAATTGAATGATCATACTCTTGTTTATAAAACAATGGATTTCATGTGATTTTGTTTTTATGTTTAGCGAATAGATAAGTGACATCATATACATGTAAGTATGATATATAACCATAATTGAATAACGAGATATATAGTGGGTGTCAGAATATTTGTTTTGAATTACTTCATCTAATCTAAATTATAAGTTATTTTGCTAAAAAAAATTGTCTCTTAATAAAATATTAATGATATTTTTTCAATATTAATGACATTTCTGTAAAGTAAAACATAATTTGTCTTTTTCGCAAAAGAATAATTAAGTTTCTTAATTCGTGTGAAATGTTCAAAACAACTTATAATTTGAGAAGGCAAAATAACCTTTTTATTCCCTTAACTTTAGCTCGGGGTCTATTTTGGTCTCTTATCTTTAAAAAGTGCCAAATGAGTCCTTTAACTTTTAAAATGGTGTCACGTTTATTCTTCCGTGTGTTGCTGTTAGTTTGTTTCTGAAAAAATTGTCACGTTTGTCCACGTGGAGTGCTGAGGTGGAAGTGAAGTGAAGTTTCATAGTGGAAGAGCAAACGCCATGGAGTGTCACGTTACTTGTACAAGAAGAAGAAGGAAGGAACGATTCAAGAAGATTGAAGGAACGATTCAATTAGAAGAGGAAAGATTCAAGACCAGACGCTTGAAGATTGAAGACGATTCAAGAAGGAGACATTGAAGAAGAAGACCTGGTTTTTTGATTGAGGATTGAAGATGATTCACGAGCCAATCTCAAAATGTTAGTTCATTTCTCTCTGATTTAGGATTTTCTGGTAGAGGTTCAAATTTAGGGTTTATATAAATTTGTTAGTTTAAACGTTAACTACTTACATGGTATGATTAGGTATCATGGATGAATACATAACTCTGAAAATTCATCATAGTGGTGAGTTCACAGATGAAGGTCGTACTGTATATGAGAATGGAGTAGTAGATGATTTGAGGGTGGATGTAGACAGATGGAGTTATTTTGAGCTAGTTGGTGTATTGAAAGACTTAGGTTAGAGAGAGTTTGAAACAATATTTTACAAGGACCCTTAATTTGGGATGAACCGACTTGTTGATGACAATGGTGCTTTAGAAATTGCAGATCTGTATAGGGTGTACCAAACTGTTGATATTTATATTGAACACACATTGCCTCAACCTGACTATTATGATGTTGTTGTTGATAAAGTTGATGAGGACCCTGTTGAAATTGTAGATGAGGTAGAGGAGTTACTTAGTAAACGACATGAAGAAGTTGTGGAAGGTGAAGTTAGGGTTGATGAAGCCACTGCTGTTAGAGTTGATGAGGTTCCTGCAGTGGATGATCATACTGTTGCAGTTGAAAAAGAGAGTGCTGCAGGGGAACAAGGTAATGTTGGAGTTGGAAAAGGCAAAGTTGCAGTGTATGATGACTTAAGTCTATCATTTGATGATAGTGAAGATGAGGACTACAATTATGATAGTGCAGAAGATGTTGCTTTTGAGGATGAGTCTGATGGGTGTGATGAGATTAGGGAGGATGAACTTGATTCCCTAATTGGTCTTGAAAATGATGGTAACAGAGAGGAGGGAGAAAATGATGGTAAAGGAAGTGACAATGACAGTGAGGAAATGCAAAGTGGTTGTGACAGTGATGATAGCAGTGGAGTTGTAAGAAAAAAACATCAAATTTTCAGACAGCCAAAAGACATGTCAGATTACAAGTGGGATGTGGGAATGTACTTTAGTTCAAAGGATGATTTTAGGGAAGCAATAACAAGTTATGTTGTTCAAAATAGTAGAGACCTAAGGTTTGTAAAAAATGATAAAGTTAGGGTAAGGGTTAGATGTAAAGTTGGTTGTGAGTAGGAGGCTTATTGTAGCAAATTGTCAACTGAAGACACTTGGCAACTCAGGAAAGTAATTGATAAACACAGTTGCAGTAGAGAGTTTAATGTGAAGCTGATGAGTACAATGTGGTTGAGTAAAAGAATTCAAAATAGCTTGATAAACAATCCAAGGTTGAGTATAAGGGATATCAAGGAGAAGGGCAGATACTAGCTGCCATTGGGAGGGATCCTAATGATCAGATGCTTCCCATAGCATATGTAGTTGTGGAGAGTGTAAACAAGGATAGCTGGACTTGGTTTTTAGATCTGTTAATTGATGACCTTGGAGGCAAAGATGAATGTCTGACTTACACCTTCATCTCAGACCAACAAAAGGCAAGTTTTTCATTTATTCTTGCTTTTATATGTATCTTGTTGTTATATACCAAATATGAACCTAAGTCATGTATGTTGTGCTGCTGTTATGAAATAACTCATCCAAACTGTTATATGTATAATGTGCTGCTGTTATGAAATATGTGCTGCTGTAGCTTCACTTATTTTTTCTTGTGCTGCTGTTATGAAATATGTATGTGTTGCATGATTTTTGAACTTTGTGCTGTTGTTATATACCAAATATGCTGCTATACTGATTAATGAACTTTGTGTTGCATGATTTTTGTGTTGTCCAATTTTTTTGAATTGATAGATTCTCAAATATGAACCTAAGTTATGTATGTTGTGCTGCTGTTATAAAATAACTCATCCAAATATGAACCTAAGTTATGTATGTGTGCTGCTGTTATTTTTTCTTGTGTTGCTGTTATGAAATATGTATGTGTGCTGTTGTTATATAGGTATCCAAACTGATTAATGAACTTTGTGTATGCTGTTGTTGATATAGGCATCCAAACTTATATGCTACATTGTATGTTATTGCAGGGTCTGCTACCTACTATGGATGAGTTTATTGCCAAGGGTGGAGCACAGGTTTTGTGTTAGGCACCTTTATAACAATTTTAGAAAAAAGTTTCCTGGAAAGATGTTGAAGGACATAATATGGAAGGCTGCCAAGTCAACATACCCACAGGCATGGGAAAAAGAGATGAAGGGAATGAGGGCCATCAATGAAGAAGCATTTAAACATATGATGAAGACCCCACCAAGGTTTTGGAGTAGATCCTACTTTAGGACTGAAAACAAATGTGATGTTGTTCTCAACAACATGTCTGAGTCATTTAACAGTGTCATT